GTACACTTTTTTTTACACTTGATTCATCAAATTTATAGTTATTCCATGAGTCGTAAGAAAGTGACTTCGACGACTTTTGTCATTTTTAACCATCTTGCCTTATTGAGTTTGGCGTTCAAACTTAATATATTATTTACATTATTATTATTCGACAGAAAATTATTTAAATTAAAGTTCGCAATTTTGGGTTCTTTCATGCTACGATTTAGCATATTTTACCCGACTATACTTATTAAATAATATGTATGCATTTTTTATTTTGCATTACTATGAATACACTCGTTTTAAGGTCTGACGAATTTGACGGTAAATAACTTTCCTTATAATAAATATCCTTAAACTAACAAAAGCTCAAATTGCTTGTAATCGTGAGCTCTATACACATATTAAATTTAGTAAAATTGTTGCTTGAATCCACGGGGTTATATTATTTGCAACTGAGCCACAAACTAAATAAGAAAAAAAAATGTTTTAAAATAAGAAATTGAATTTTTACTGATCTAGGTTATAGAAATATATAGGTTATAGAAATTCTATAAAGAAATAAGGACTTATGTAGGGATACATTGAAAGCCATGATGTGGATTTAAACTTTTTTCAAATTTTTTTATGTTTATTTTTAAAGTTTATTCTGCATTGCTATAATCATTGTAAATATCACACAGGTGATGAAGTTTCTTACAGTTATCATTAAATTTTCAGATATATTTTTGTTCAAACAGAAGATAATGATAACCTTAAAATGCACTGAGCACACTATTTAAACTTCTACGTGCACGATGCAACGTACCTTTTTGTTTGCATTTTCATGAGTAACTTTGAATATTAATGGTTGACCTTAGGGCTCCGAAATGCTAATCAATTTTACATCTTCTAAGCTTTCATTTAATATCTGATTTTCTAGGATTCTGTAATTTATTGAAAAGTAATCAGTAAATAAAGATAGGAAATTATTTTTGCTACCCTCGTTCTTATGTGTTTCTGGTAAGGAGAAATTTTGTACTGAAAATTCGTCATCTTCATTCACTAATTATTTTTGAATAAATAATAGAATCCTTAAAAATCAGATACCAAATTGAAGCTTATCAGACGAAGAATCGATTAGCACTTTGGCGCCTTAATGTCAACCTTTGATTTTTAAAGTTATAAACGAAAACGTAAACAAAAAAGCACGAGGCAGTGCGAGACCCTTACACAAAAATCTTTCTAGAATTTTTTTTTATTGAATATTTCAACCTAAAATTGTGTACAAATATTCTTAAAAGGCAGTGAAATAATCTCATTAGAAAAAAGCAAGTGATTTCAACAATTTGTAACAGACTTTTCTCAATTCAAGTAGTGCATTAGGTGCATTTTGAGGTCATCATTATTTTATACTTAAACAAAAATGCATCTGAGACTTTTATTAAGACTGTAGGAAAACTTATTACCTGGGGAATTTCTACAGTAATTTTGAGATATAACGCAACTGTTTATTGCACACAGCTTATGCCCCCACTAAATACGACACTTAACGCTAGAACCACCTTAATTATCTTACAAACAATATATTGATATTTTCTTTTTTTTTTTTTATGAACAGTATTTGTATTCTATAATCAATAAATTAAACCTAATTCAATTTACGAACAATTTTTTAAGGCTTACCATTAAGAGTATTGTACCTTTTATTTCATGTTTAGCTAATTAGTGTCTCACTTGAAACTATCAATATTTTCATCGGCCTAGAACACAATTACTAATTAGTTCCGAGAATGTGTGTGGCCGACAAATGTGACGCTCTTTTGGCATTAGTTTGATCTTCTTTACCGGGTTCCAAAAAAAGTTAGAACACAAAGGTAATAATTACGTTGATAAAAATAATCACCAATAAAATGCAAATAAAATGTTAACACTATCCTCCTGTGTTTGTTCAGTTCTAGATAAAGAATGTATAAGATTTGTACTCAAAGAAATATCTTTATAATCAGATTAAACATAAAATATAATTCTTTCTGTCATAGTGAGATAAAAATTTCTACAAGATTTATGGTTTTACTCCAAAATCTAATTAGAAATAAAAGAGCTGAATTATTTTAATTTTATTTCAATTTTCTGGAAATTGCTTCTGTAAACATTTTTAAGTATTGTCCCCCTTAAAGAACCCATATAGTTTCTACCCGTCAATCTTCTGAGGCCAGTGAAATAAAGTCTCTTGAACACAAATATTTTGAACTCAGATAAAATCTAGATAAATGAAAGAAAATTTAATAAATAAAATTGTTCTAGTAAGTAGGCAGCAAAATATTTTCTTCCAGTTACAAATAACTTGCACAATGTTTATTTGTATTTAAAAAACAAAAAATGAAGTTCATCGAAGTTAGCGTGGGGAAGACTAAAGAGCAGTAAGGAGGGAGCGAACATGCAAGCTCACGGGCAACTGTTTTGCATCGACGAGTGTACCAATATACATTCAACTGAACCTGTTTTTTTTTTTAATTTTGTTGCAAAAATAACTTGTCAACCCCTCTGAAAATTCAATATTACGTAAGTTTTATAATATTGTGTCATGTAAAAAAAAACTGGACCTATTCTACAAACCATTCGCTTATAAATCTCTTTTTTATGTGAGTCCTCCATAAAGTTACGAATTAAATGAAGTTTTTTTACATTTAACATCTAAAAAACGATGTCGTGAACCGGTCTCAAATTTTACATGTGACTTTTTTCAACATCATTACGAACATCCTGTTGAAATATCAGGAAGATTTTGTACTTTTGAAGGAAGTTCTGTCTCTCGCTATAGTCCATGCAACGCTCTCTATAGTTTGGTATGTCGTCTGTCTCTCTCGCTCTCCTATGAAAACATAATCTTTAGTGGTTTTTACCATGCTTATTAATTCATTTCTTCTCTCACCAGTATCCTTGAGATGTTTAACAAAATTAAATACAATAATAAGATATTTTTGTATCATCGGTAAAATTTTTATCAAATGTATATTATGAATATATAAGATAAATGCAAAAAAAGTACTTAAAAAGACGGCAGCCCATAAGCCTACATATAAAAATTGACTGAATTTTAGTATTAATTAGTTGGCTCCTAGGAACCCTCATGCCTTCAATATTTGACAGCGTCATTCTTATGACTTTATTAATTTGTCAACAAATTTTCATTTCATTCTCATTGTTAATTCTGAAACTGGCAGAATTTTCTTCAGCCAAAAATATAAAACTCTATGAACTTATGCGTTTTTGTTTCTTGTTTATTAATTTGTAAAACTGCATTACAGCTTAAAAAAATCTAAAGAATCGTTATTATTTTCCTAGCATAGTAAAGTCAATTTTTTACTAACTTACGCTAATTGCACATGATATTTTAAAACGTTTTTAAGTAGAAATAAGGTTCTCAAAATGTTGTAAGAATATTTTGAGAAGTTCTGTGCTATTAGAGAAGTATAAAATCTCATAACCCAGAAATATTTACATGTTATGCATTTTATCGTACAAATAAATAGTTAAAAATGTTTTTTTCATAAATATAGCCAAGAAATCCATAAAATTAACTAACCTTGTACTTAATTATTAACTAATGATCCTCATTTCATTGTTGAGGCAAGCCAGCATAACAAAGAAATACGCCAGATTCCTTACAACCGTTCAGTTGAATAAAGTAATAACTGAATGTGTGAAATATTTTTTAATAACTCAGTGAACTAACTTGCCTTAACGTTTAGAGTAGGATGAATGATTCAAATTCATAACATTACTCAGAAGACTTTCTGCCCGTATGGGACACAACTTTTTTTAAGCGTAAAAATAACGCTGTTTTTACAGCCTTGGAACATAAAAAAAAAAAATTTGTTAAAACTTCTGAATTTTTTGTAATAAAAACTATGTCCTGTGATCCTAACATATTTTTTTATACAGAAATAGCTATTTTTATCTAGATAACTTAATTTTAAGTGGAAAATCTTCATGGATACATTTTTAAAATCTTATTGGAATAACGCAAACTTGTGAAACAAAAAACTTCTTCCTCAGTCGTTCTTAGTTTGTCAGCTAATACTTTAATATTTACTTTGCATTAAATAATTGGCAATTAGCACAAGTCAACACGCTACAAAAACATTTACCGTTTATGATTTAGCAATCAAAGTGACCAGGGTTTACTATTAGCTTTAAAGACATCTTCATGTGACTTAGACACCTCACGCACTTCAAGGGCACTTAGCAAGTACTTGTGAGGTACTTTTCGGAAACTTTTTAGGTACTTGTGGGGCATATGGCAAGCACTAGACGGACACTTGCCAGGTACTGGACAGGCACTTGTTGAGTAATTGCCAGGAAATTGACGGACACTTGACGAGCCCATGATGGGTACTTGGCTGGTACTTGGTGACAAAAGCCTGTTATCTTCTAGGATTTTAAGGTCGAGATTGCAACAACCTCCCAATTAAAACTTGCAATCTCTGCTTGCTAAAAAAGTATTATGGCGTTTTCTGCAAGGAAATGGCCTCCCAAGCCGTAGGTTGCAAAAGCGAGTAGCAAACATGCAAATTCTGGCCAAAATACTGTTTCATAAGTGAAGAATGCAAGTTTTTACCCGCAAGGAATGAGGCACTTTCGTCCCCGAAATCAGGAAAGAAAATTTGTGTTTCAGCGAGAGTATGAAAAAAAAACATTTGCTGCATACACAATAATTATCCTAACTATCGTTGATAGGACAGTATTCCGGTTGTATGAGTAAAATCAACTTATGTATATCAGCAACTTTAATAAGCTGAGTCTTTTAAATGAAGGTAAAACTCTTAAGCAAAAAGCTCAAACGATCCAACTACAGTAGGATTATATGTAAAATATTCTGAAAGAAAAGAACGCTATTTTTTATCGTCTATAGTACCCTTAATCACAAAAGTTTAATGATATTATAAATAATAAATAATCAGAAAATTGACAAATCATGTCAATTTCGATGCTTCTGGTCACTACTATAAAATACAAGCTTATTAATTATTTACCTTTCTTATGTCTTCATAAACATCTTTCAGATCAGCCTCAATTAGCTTATAGGGATCGATTCGGTAGTCCGGCAACAAACCGGAATGTTGAGTATGTTTGTACCTCATGACGCGAATAAAGTTTGAAAAGTCACCGTCCAGTATTCGAGAAATCACCTGTAAATGTAAAAACAGAAATTTAATTACGTCCGGTAAAAACAAGTGATTCTTTTAATTATTAGAAATTCTTAGGAAATTATAGAAAAACTTATTAAAGATAAGCCAAATAAATATCAGCATTAAAACTCATACAATTCTTAATGCCATGAAACCTTAGGTTCCTTATATTATTACGCATACTTTTACATTATCCAATGAAATATCCAAAAAAGGTCAACTAAGATGGAGCAACACAATACAATGCAACGCTTTTTCTCCACATTTCTTATGAATTAATTCTATTTGATTTAATACTTCAAAATGTTTGAAACAATATTTTATAGGAAAAAAAGACAATGTAGGGTTTAAATTTCTGGATTGTCAAAAATTCTTAAGATAATTCTGTCAATAAAAGTTGTATTGTACATGAATAACTTCTTTTAAAAAATCTACATAGCTTGATAATCGTGAAATAAAGGTATGGGACGATTAGCAGACTAAAAAATATTTGGAGTTTGATATATTCAATAAATAATTATTGAGAGCTAGCAAGTAAAGAGTAACTTTATGGGAAACACTTGATTGGCACTATTTTAGATTACTTTTTAATAACCTTAAAAAGTTAATCATAAATGTTGCAACTAAATATTTTTTAGACAATGTATTGTCCAGCTACATATTACAGTATTAAAGTAACAAGTAACATTAAATCATTTCTCTCAATCCTATTTTGTTCGTGGATATCTGTAAATCGTACTACTTTCATCGCGAGCTCTAAATTGCACTTTTACTTAAGTACTCTACCATGGAAAAGTAGATCAACCATTTCTTGACTGTTAATAAGAGCTTAATACTTTCTTGGCGATCAATAGTTGTAGAAGTTAATAGTTGTAAGGATTCATGAGGCATATCTAGAGCCCCTTGTATGGAAAAGCTTATCTTATATTTCTAAGATCCGTCGGTAATTACAGTACTTTTTTAAAACAAGTAATAACTCAGTACTCACTAATTTTCCTGCCACTATTTCTTGTACAAAAAGTCAAGTTGCTCCATCTTTTTATATTATACATTTTTTAACGATTGCTTACAATGTAAAAATTATTTTGTAAGTAATTAAGATTGAATAAAATATTTATTAATAATGTTTTTTTCACATAATAAGTACTTGAGTTGACGGACACTATTTTGAAAAACGTTTTAATAAGCGAGTAGGCATTATGATTAGTAATAACAAAGTTGATATATCTTCCTGAATTATTTAGTTGTATGGACAAAAATGATTCGCAGCTCCCCCTCTCTACTCCGTATTATTGGGTTATTGGTATGTAGTATATTGGGTTATTAGTATCAGGGAAACGATAAGGCTCCTGCAAAACTACCCGCGTCCTTACCCCTGCCACTACTGCAGACACTGCTCCAGCACCTGTCAGGTTTAGTAGACGAAAGGGCTCTGTCATTCACCGTTCAATGCTGTCTTGACTGAGTTTCTTAGTTTTTCTTGTCGTTGAGTTGGGGATCTGCCAAATCCAGTATAGCGTTACGAGCAATTTTGCTGTCACCTGATAAATGCCTTAGAGCTCAATTTTGTAACGGCTTCAATGCATATTATTTCTTTTCTTCGAATGCTAATTATAATGCGACACGTGCTTGAATGCGCATTACTTTGATTTTGCTTATTTCTTACATAAAATTTATGTATATTTTTAATTTGTTTCTATGCTATTCGTATCTATTACATTATTAATTTATTCTAAAAACCTGTGGAGATGTAATATTTGCCTAGCTTGCTTATTTTAAGTATTTCAGCATCAGCAATATCGTTCAGGAATTTTTTCGAAGCATGAGTTTTCACCATTCAAAGGTAACCCCTGTTAAAAGAAGCAGACAAAAAATAGAGGGTGGGCTCCATATTTGGAGTTGTATCCTATCTGCACTTTCTTAAGGGCGTCCTTAAGATATCATACTTTTTTTGAGAAAATTTCTTTAAAAAATTGGTTATCATTTTAAGTTCAACAACAATACATTCAAATTTGTAAAGAGATTATTGTACCGTTTCGGAGATATTACAATCGAAAGTTAATTATTTTGTGTGTAATTGATAAATCATTAAGAAGTAAATGAAAGCAGTAAAATAAATAAATACTTAAAAATAAATAAGAGAATATGAAGTTTATTTTAAATTCTTAAAAACTGTTACAACTTCGCTTAAAACATTTTTTTTGTTACAAAATTTTTCGATCCCTTTTTCAATAAAATATAAGTAATACCTTTTTCGCCAGATTTAAAATGTAGTTGCTATAATCCTTTGAACGTTACGTTAGCAAGAGATAATTTTATTATAATCTGTCTTGACATATTAATTCAGTGCATCTAAGTAAGCCAAGCTATTAGTAACTTTATTATAATTAGCAATTTTCTGATTACAATTCAGACAGGATTTAATTGTTTGTTTGTGAGTAATCTTTTACTATTATTTAGACTCAAGAGTACTGCAAAAAATTGGAACGTCGTACAGTACATCATGAAAAGTACACTAGTTCATAACATTCAACGATCCAAGCTAGACGTATGACAGGTGTCATGTCATGTCAATGGCAATTATATCAGCCATTATGAAATGTCAAGTATTTTCTGACTGACTTGATTTGACATGACTTGACAGAATAATCTATGATTCATCATTTCGTATTTAAAAATAGATAAATAGAAAGTGGAATTTTTTTTATTCTGCTAGAACAAATCTATACAGTGTTTTTAAAAATTGTAATAATTTACGAAAGTACAATTGAAAGAAATATATGATCCTTACATAAAATAAAATACCTGTTTTCAAAGCAATTAACTAGACATAATAGTCATAATAATAATGGTCGAGTAGACAAAATAACGACATAACTCGTGTAATTATCAATTCGGGCTGAGAATGAGTTCACAACAGCAGAATACGTGACTCACAAAGGAGATGATAAAATAGATGATTACAAAAATATTAATTTTCCAATAGACTTTTTAAATAATATCAGAAAAGGTCTTCTACCACACGAATTAAAATCAATACAAATGCTATACTAATGTTAATAAAAATTTTGAGTACATCAGACGGTCTCTATAATGGCACAAGATTAAAAAAAAACAAAATTATTTAGGTATAATATAAAAGCAGAAACAATAATTGGAGAAACAAAAGAAAGCAAAGTTTATATTCCTAGAATAACATTAAATACTAGCACCTCACCATCATTACCTTTTGCCTTCTATACAAAACAGTTTTCCTTTGCATTAGTATGTTCTATGTTTATCAACAAATCACAAGGAAAGACTTTTGATTCCTTGGAATTGTATATTAAAAAAAACTTTTATTCTCTCACGGACAATTAGACGGTGCTTTATCAAGATGTAAGAATCCAAAAAGAATTTTCATTCAAATTGAATCCAAGAACAAATCAGAAATTGAAAATATTGTTTAGCAAAAAATTTTTCAGTAATTCAAAAATATGTAACTTCAAAGATCGTCACATTTAAACAGAAATATGTTAATTCATAAGAACCATGAAAAAAAAATTTGTGAAAAATGTGGGAAGGGTTTTAAAAGAACAGATGGGTTAAAGCGACACATGAAATGTTACAACATAAAGCTAACAGAATAAATTATTGTTTTAAAAGCTTAATTTTATTTGTCTATTTAATCATACCTTCTCCTGCATTCTGTCTTTTTGTAAAAAAAGTCCTCAGTTAATCAAGAATTTTATATTTGGGTAAAGTACACATGGACCAGAAAGAGATTTTAAATGTAAAAGTTCAATCTAGTTAAACAAATAATGGTCTTTCAGAGACATATAGTGAGTAAAGAGGAGAGAATAGACTGAGGGGGACTTATGATCAGTGACTTGAAAAACCCTAAAAACGAGGTATGACTTGAGTACTAAATTAAGTATAATTTTTAACATTTCAGATGGTAAAATATTCAATAAATAAGTATTTTCTTCGGGGAGGTGAAGGGGGAGCGAGGAGGAGCTGAGGGGAAGTGGGGGAGAGCGGGGGGAGCGGGCGAGAGGTTACTTGAATATAACTTGATCAAAAATCACGTAAAAACAAGCAAATAACTACGTGAATCGAGGGGGAGCTGAGGTGAAGCGGGGGGCTGAGACTCACTTTCATTAATACAATTGTATAATATAGGGATTTATACATGTATATACATATATCTGTTTACATGTATCCCTATATTATATAGTTATTTGTGTAATGCATTCCACATATCCCTTCAACAGCCTACCACAGCCTCTCTGCATCCCCTCCACAGACCCCCTACAGATAAGCTAAAGTTTGACAATTTTTACCTTCAAATTGAGATTTCTCATTTTTTCTCTAAACCCCTCACACCCCCCCACACATTTTTCTTGCTCCCCAACAGACCCCCCGCACCATTTTTCTTGTCCCCCCACAGCCTCCAACAGACCCCCCACACTATTTTTCTTGTCTCCCAAAGCCTTTCTACACCATTATTCTTGTCCCCTTATAACTTTTTCTGTAAGTATAAATTATTCCTATTANATTTTCCGCCCTCGGGTGGTTTTGGGAGGCTGGTACTTCCTCGGGCGAAAAAGCAGTTTTCCGAAACTCGTTCGAAAAGTCTCCTTTACGAACCTCGTTACGTCCCTCGCCTTCGGCTCGGGCCGCAAACCTCTCGGTTCGCAAACAGAGACTTTTCAAACTTGTAGGAAAACTACTATTATACGTATAGAATAAACATAAAATCCATGTTCAATTATGGAATTGTCTGTTTCCTGTGTCTAAATTTATTGTTAGAATAAAGACTTTATTTCCAATTTTTTCTCTAGTTATTTTTTTTTTCTATATTATACTGTAATAATTTTGTGATTCGTAAACCTGTTCCATTACAGAGTCCATCTGATATACTTAAATTTCTTAGTAACATCACTATTGTACCAATTTTTAGATTTAGTTCATGAGGTGGTAATCATTCACGAATATTGTTCAACATTTCCACCAGAA